AAAAAAAAAAAAAAAAAAAATAAGAAAAAAAAATGCAGTCGACTTGCCAGCAACAGCAGGCCCAGCCAGGCCAAAACGGAACGTCCGCGAGCAGAACCTCGTTTCTAATCGAAGACATCCTGAGCCGTGGAACAGCTCCGCCGCATTCTCATCATCAGCTTCATCATCAGCATCTGACATCCAGCCACGGGGTGCAACATCAACAGTATCAACAGTTCGCGAATTTATTGCCCGGTTACCCGTCCGCACCGCCCACGGCAACATTCTTCCTAGGTCCACTTTTCGGTAACACCGCGATGGGGGTTGGAGTGGTGCCGGGAGTTACTGAACTCGCGGCCTTGAAGCACTGCCGTCGACGGAAGGCACGAACAGTGAGTGATACCACTTGCAATGTCCATGTCTTTCTCTTCTTTCACTTTCTGTTCATCAAGTTCACGCTGTCCATGCTCCTCACTGAAAACATCAAAATGATAGATTACGTATATCTTTCGATTTTATAATTATTTAAAAGAGACACAGGTATCTTTTCTTTTCTTCTTTGATAAAACTGAATGATCGTCTGTCTGCTTTATTTTTTCGGTCATTTTTAATTGCCAATTTTTAAAGCGCCTTTCGTTGCCTTGTTTTATCCTAATCAGATTGTATTGTATGTAGGAAAGTTTAGCTTCGATTTCCAAACGCGAATTACTTACGACTGTTCTGAGAAAAAGATGGTAAATAAATACTTAGAGGGTTCAAATACTTATATATCTTTCTCACAACAATGTCGACTTTTCATAGTGCAATTTCTTACATTAATAAAATTGCACTCGTTCGAGTCTATTTAGATTCTATTTTCATTCCTTTCTGCGACTGAAATATTCCACTTGCTAGATTCTTCAGTGCAATTTCCTGTTACAAGAAATTCACCGAAACGTCACAGAATATTTCAACGACCGGAGGAAGTAGGAAATAAGATTACTAAACGAGGCGATGGAAAATTCAGATGCATTTGCGAGAAATCGTTTGCAATATTTAGGTGTTCAGCGATCAACAATTAGCGGGTTTGGAAGCCAGATTCGAGGTGCAGAGGTACCTGAGCACGCCGGAGAGGGTCGAGCTTGCGGCGGCGCTTCACCTCTCGGAGACCCAAGTGAAAACGTGGTTCCAAAACCGGCGGATGAAGCACAAGAAACAATTGAGGAAATTGAACACCAGCGCGGGAAGCAACGGCAATCAGAATTCTAATCAGCAATGCACCGGTCAATCCGTATCTGTCACCTCGCCTGCCGGTAAGCCAGTTATACTCTTTCTCTTTAACTAAAATAAAAGGAACTACTCTTGATTTGTGACAGAATGTAGTAAGAATTCTCACAGATTGAGTTAAATATATATGCAATAAAGGCGGCTTGATAAACTAGATCATAAAACATAGTCATAGAGAAGTGATGCAAATAAAATTCATCAACTCTTCAGTGAAGAGTATAAATATATACAATTTTAAAAATTTATGGATAAAATTATAAACAGATCTTGAAACATAATCACAGAGAAGTGATGCAAATAAGATTCATCAACTTCAGTCAAGAATATAAATATATATTACTACATAAGTATATGCAATAATACAATTTTAAAGATTTATGGATAAAATTATAAGCAGATG